GGCCGGGACCCCTCTGAGGGGAGGGGGCCTGGAAGGGACACGGGGGTCCCCCCCATGGGGGAGTGGGGGTGAGGGGGGCCCTGGGGTGTGGGTGAGATGAGGATGGAAACGAGACGAGAAGTGAAGGGCAGGAGGAGGGGAAAGGGGAGGAGGGCGAGGAAGAGGAGGATGAAGACAGAGGACAAAGATGAGGTCCAAGACGAGGACGAGGATGGGGAAGAGGAGGAAGAGAAGGAAGAAAAAGAAGACAAAGAGGAGGAGCACAAGAAGGATGAGAAGGAGGACGGGGCAGAGGCCGAGGAGGGAGGGGAAAGGAGGAAAAGGAGGAGGAGGAGGCCGAGGAAGAGGAGGCGGCGGCGCTGGAGCGTGGGGACGATGCGTACCTGGGTGATGGAGGACAATGTGGGTGACATTGTTGGTGAGAACTGTTTGGGGTGCTGCCGTCTGCAGTCGCCGGCCACGGGCAGGGACAGGGGGCTGAGCGGGACCCGCCGGCGCGGCGAGGTGGCCGCGAAGGAGCCCCCCAGCCCCGAGGGCAGGCTGGGGTTGCTGGGCGAGGACTGGAGGGGCTGGCTGCGGGGGGACGTGGGCAGCGAGGGGTTGGAGAGCGAGGAGGACAGGGAGGAAGGCAGGGACTGGTTGGAGAGAGAGGAGGGGATGGAGGAGCTGCTGTGGGAGGACTGGAGCGAGGGGTTGCTGAGGGAGGCCTGGAGCGAGGGGCTGCGCAGGGAGGCCTGAAGGTTGGGATTGCTCAGGGAGGACTGCAGGGACGGGTTACTCAGGGAGCTCTGCAGAGGTGAGGGGAGTCCTGTGGGGACAAAAACAGAGAGCACCGTTACCCCGGCACGGCCCCAGCCCCGGGACGGCCCGGGCGGGGCTCCCGGGGCACGGAGGGGGACGGAGGGGCACGGAGCGACCAAAACGATGGAGACGGACACACGGACGGACACACACCCCGGGCGGGGGGACAGCGGCGTGAGGGGGCACCGGGGTGGGAGATGGGCTCCTCCCAGACCCCTGACACCGTCAGACCCCCGGGAATGAGAGCCGGGCTCCCCCCAGGCCCCCACAACTGCACTGAACCCCGCAGGGCAACAGGGTGGGAGCTGGGCTCCCCCCACACGCCCACAGGAGCCCCAGATCCAACGGAGCCCACCCCCACCCCACTCCGGAGTGCCGAGGCTCCATCCCAGAGCGGGATTCCTGGAGCTGCCGGCTGCTGCCACAGCCACCCCAGGACACCTCCTGCCGGGGTCGGGTCCTTGTGTCCCCCTCTCTGCCGGCCGAGGCTCCGTGTCCCCCACACCAGCTCCCAGCGCTGGGACCCTCTCAGGCCCCCCGTGTGCCCCCGCTGCAGGGGGAGCTCCTGGCTCACCTGGGGGGTCGTAGCCCAGCCCGACGCCGCCGGTGCCGCTGATGCCCAGGTGGGTCATGGTGGTGGCCAGGTTGGAGGTGCTGCTGCCCCCGCTCAGGGGCGGGTACGGGGCCTCCTCAGGGTCCAGGGGCGTGGGCAGGGGGGACGGGAAGTGCAGCGTGGTCAGGTCGGGCAGGGACCCCCCCGTGTTGAGGGCCGAGGGCATGAGGGGCACGTTGGCAGGTTGATCCGGGGATGGGAATATGCTGGGGGAGTGGGGAGAGACAGGATCAGGGCAGGAGCGGGGCTGCTCCCCCAGCAGCCCGTGCCCAGTGCCCCCCAGTGCCCCCCACCCTGCTCCAGCCCCTCCCAGCACTCACTGGATTCCCGGGACCTCACAGGAGCGCGGCCGGGCCGAGGAGGACGAGAGCTGTGGGACCAAAGAACGAGTGAGGCCAGGCCAGGCCCAGGGCTGGGGGACACAGGGAGGACACAGGGGGG